AAAGCAGAGATTGGGTGGTCCAGGCATATAGCTGGTGAGCTGACCACCRGCTGGGGCAAGTCCACCTTGCATTGGTTCTGCTAAAAAGCCAAGGTAAAGTGAGATAGCTTTGTGGAAGCAGAGTGTTCAGTCCAAGAGTGAAGAACACTATTGCCGTCCACCATATGCATCTCCCTGTTCTCAGCACAAGCATTCCTCACACTGAGACCYGCCCATGAGTCACCCTGGTTCTCAGTAAAGACAGAGTCTGACTCTGACTGGTGATGCCTTRATGCCAGGCCAGCACCACCCTCCTAGCAAGGCAGGATGATGAAGCTCAGAGACTGACACCAAATGCCTGACCAGGGTTCCCCACTCATAAGGGCAGAGCCAATGGAATCCAGGTCTAAGTGACTCCAAAACTCAGGCCCTCTCCACTACAGCACCCATGACATGATTGGGATGCTGCTATAGCTGGGATCTTGAATGTGTTAAAGGTTTGGTCCCCAGCCCATGGTRCTATTAGAAGGTGGTAGAGCATTYAGTAAGTGTGGCCTAGAAGGAGGTTTTAGGTCGTCTGGGGGGGTCCTCAAAGAGGATTGAGGCACCCCTCMCTCAAGTGTCTTCCTTTCTTGTTGGCTGTCCATGAGAGAAGCAGTTTTGCTCCACCACACACTCCGCCCTGATGTACTCCTCCCCACCAGAGACCTACCTGTCCTCCAGGTGATGGACTGGAACCTCCAAAACTCTGGGCCAAAATAAACCTTTGCTTTTTGAAGTTGATTATCTCAGGAATTTGTTATAGTGATAGAAAACTGACTACCACAGATGCCAAGTTCTAAAAGAAACCTAGGTCTGCAAGAAGGACCCAGCGTGTGACGCTGTGGAGCCCACATCACAGGAAAAACAAATGGAGAAGGAGAGACATGTGATCTAAAAAMCAAACAAATGAACAGACTTTGGAGATAAGGCAGTTAGCCCCAAACATGAGAAGAGCTGTCCAATAAGGAAGCCACCTACCTGGATGGCCCTGTTGGGGGGCACCCCAATGGGGGAGACAAATGGGCATGTTCGTTTGGGTTCTTATGAAGAATGTCCTAATGGCTGGGCTGTCCTAAAATAGAACAGGCCATCTTGGGGTGCAGAGGTCACAGCTTTCCAGACACCACCTCCATGACGATGTGTCTGGACAGCACCTGTCATCTTACTATCCCTGAAGCATTATATGTTGTAATGATAACAGTAAATCTGACCAAGACAAARCATCACTTCCAGCAAAGGTCATTCAACCAGGAGACCTACTGTCTTTTTGTGTTTATAAAGAGGTGTTAATAAATGTTAGTCAACCATTAATGGCATATTATCAGGAAATGGAAATGACATATTTAGAATCGAAATAAAAGCAATCTATTTAGAATTGAAATAAGTTCAAAAATCACTCTTTTTTTCTCCCTCTGAAATTCAGCTGCACCTCCTAAAATCATCTTGGAAAACACTGGTCCTAATGATCTCAGCCATGAACTTCTAGACCCCCCAGGCCCTTCTATTAAGCAGAACAGCCCAAGTTCCCCCAAGTATTGCTTAGAAAGTTTTGAGCCCTCTCACCATCCCTGATACGCTCCATGGATTAGCATCTTKTGGCAGCAAAGAATGCAACTCTGAATGAGCAGGAACATGATCCTTCCAATCAAGCTGGCCCAGAGCATCCTCAGCTGCCCACTAGCATCTCCCTTCTCTGTTGGCACTCACTGCACTTGCTCCAGGAGAGCCGCTATCTTCTAAGCCAGGTAAGGTCACATCCTCCCAGCCCACCTTGATTACTTGGTGCTTTTGGATTGACTTCTTATAGTTAGGGTAACTCAAAAACAGACTACATAGGCTTGGAYGTGGCCTTCCTGCTCATGGAGTCGTCAACCAGAATGTGTCAGGACGAGAATTCAAAGTGACAAAGTTTGGCCAGAAGTTATTGAGCAGGCCTCCCGCCCTGCAATCCTGCGTTTAACACAACACACAAGGAGAGAGGAAGAAGACGCCAAGGTGTACCATGGTGGAAGAATATGGGAACCCTGCTCATTTCAGGCCTGTACTCTGCCTGATGGTAACGAAGCATCACATTTTCTGCCACAAGTCATTTCATTCTCATAGCTGCTCTGGGAAGTAGGTAAGATGTCCCCGTTTTTCAAATGAAGAAACTGATGCTCAGAGAGGCCATCTAATTTATCCAGAACATGCAGGCAGTTAATAGAATCAGGATTCCCAGTCAAGGTTCATCCTATTACATATGCAGACGAAGGAAGAAATTAGAAAAGCGAAAGGCCACCAGCTGATGGTGACCTTGAAGGTGAGGATAAGTGGTTATGATTTAATACAGAGGATCAGGAAAAGGTCACATCTCTTTGGATGTGAGGAATTACTTTTGAGTCTTTGCAAACACTTAAGATCAACTAATACTTAACAAATAATGGAAATAAAACCAGAGGAAATAAGTGAAGGGCAAAACCCTCAGGATGTACAGAGGTGATCTAAGAAGGGAGGTTCCTGGTAGTCTTTGGTCATGTCCCTTCAGAGGACCTAAAACCAGCCTCTATGCAGAAAAGCAGTCAAGAACAAACCCTCCAGGAGCAACAAGGGTGACTCCTTCTCAAACCACCTTTGTGGGAARTGCCTTCACAGTTTCTTAGAARTGAAAGGCAAACGTTTAGCCACTTACATTTTAGCAGACTGCCATGAACATTAGCTGTGTGCCATCAGGGAATTTGAAATTCCAGGATGTTTTCCATTGGCTCAGAAGGTCACTGGATGTTACAGTGGTGGATTCAAGCAGCTTATCAAAAATTAACTCATACACAAGGCTGATCCAACAGTTTGATTCCTATACCTCCCACTGAAACACACATACACACAAGCATGCAACAGAACTGGAAGGAAATGACAAAGGGACCAGCGATAGGGTTCTCYACAGTCACTGCTAAGCACAGGGGAGAAGTGACACACTTGTCAAAGCTGTGAAGTRGGTCCCTGACACCACAGGCTGCTGCGGGTCCACATGCTTTCAAGCCACAGGATGTGCAATTCATGTGGACTTTGAAATATTGGATTAAAGAACACAAAGCTCCAGGAACACCTGAGCACCTTTTTGAAATTATGTAAAATCACAGTGGAGTCCACAGCACCAGGAAAACATTTGGAAACTTTACTTAAAGTATTATTACATATGAGGAAGGGTCCGCAGTGAGATTTCTYAGAGTTTATGAATATTTATTATGGAGTATTCTTTAAAGCAACCAAAAATTAAGTCCAGAACAAATGGGAAACAGATTTCTAAGAGTCGTATGTTTACATTATGCAAATTATAGTTGAAGATCTATAACCCGAATATTGTTAAATGCTTAAAAAGGGTTGGGGGGAGCAGCTGATATTTGGACGAACAATATTTTTAGAGCTTTTGACAGTCTGTGCATTGAGGGACTCCTGCAGGCACATCTTTTACTAACCTGGTAGTAAAGTCATTAGGTCAAGGCTATGTCAAAGACCTGGGGTTTTAAYAGCCCCTTTGTTCACAGAAGCCTCTGCAGGACTGGATGGGTGACACTCAAACCCRATAGGAAAGTCCTCATACCTGGCTCAGCCCCTGCCAGTCCAGAAGCAATGAGGAGGCTTTGCCAACATGCCGAAACTCCCACCTAAGCACACTTGGGTTTCACATTTAGCGAAAAAAGAGAAGCAAAGTGGACAGGCTTACATGCTGAAAAGCTTGCCTGAAAGATGTCACCTTRGACTTTATGACACTGATTGAGCATAAACCCCAGACAGACACACAAGTTTACCTCCAAAGGAGGCAGAGAGCTGAAGGTGGCCCCCACCCTTGACAAAATGTAGTTAAAGACTCATAACCCAAGCTTTCACCAGGTACCACATCACTTGAGGAGGGCTAATTGAAAAGTTTATTATTAATAGTTACTATTTCTTGTTAGGACACCAATACATTGTCATCATATGAAATCTGTAAAACACAGAGAAAAYTGCTAAATAGAAATACATTTAAAGTGAGAGCCTATCAAGTCAGAAATGAGGTGCCACCTCTTCAGATCACTGATGTCTGGGCTCRGGCAGACCCACAAGCCTTTCCTCCTCACCTCCCGCTGCCCATTGCCAGCAGCCCCTGACCCCTGCCCCAGATGCAAAAGAGCACAGCTGTGCCCTTTCTCAAGGCTTCAATCCAAAGAGCTGAAAAGTCTGTTGWACATGGTCTTCCCATAGTGCAGAGGAGAATGAATGAGTTACAGATCACATAAACTTCACCACCAGAAACAAAACTCCCGGCCCACTCATCACCTTGCAAAAAACACCCTCCCATGCTCCAGTTGTGCGGTCTTAGGCCAGTCACTTGACAACCCTTGTCCTCCCCTCTATGTGGGGGCTGAGAATGTTCCCTTCAATTCACAGGGTTATGGTAACATTCAACAACAGTGTCCCATTCCATGCATGCAGCTAGTTCTGCACAGCACTGTTAATAAGAACAGCAAGTCCTATCCCCAAAAGTAACTCTGAATCCTGTCACTGTGAGCAAGATATACAAAAAGATACAGACACTGGGGCTGGGGACAGCTCAGCCTTAGAGCATTTGCCTAAGCTTAGAGCATTCCAACCCCAGCATCACAAAAAAAAAAAAGTGTGTTTGTGTTTGTGTTTGTGTGTGTATGTAGAAATAAACGTGCTCTACTGGATTCTTGAGAGTTGAAAATAAACCAGCTCTGCATTGATGTTCTTCTAAATTTGGTCTATGAGCATAACCATCATTTCTTAGGCATTTGATTCCATTTATTGCATTCAATGAAATCAGGAACCCTGTTTTTAAAATCCAGGGCTGGAAGCATAGCTCAGTAGTGGAGCATTTGCTGAACAATGCAAGGTCCAGGGTTCCATCCCCAGCATCATGCATGTATACACACATGCGCACGCGCGCGCGCGCACACACACACACACACACACACACACACACACAATTAATAATTACTAACCTGTCTTTGTGTCTTGGGGATTAACCAAAACCAGTATTTTATGGTGAGGTTCATCACGGTGCAGAGAACAAAAGCAAACGGATGAAGTTTCAAGTTTAACCTGAAAAAATAATAAAATATCTGTTTTGCTCTTTCATCATATTAAGGGCACAGGAAATTGCTGAACAATTAGCACAGTATTCATTGAAAGAACACTACAACACGGAGGTAAACAGGATGTAGGCAACATAAAAATGCAAATCTTATTCATTCTGAGCTAACCACAAGGGGTATTTGGTAACTGTCCCATCTGTCCCATATCCGACCTGCAAAACTTTTCTCCCCACTTTCACCTGCCCACCTATTCAAGTTGATTAAACACTCTCCTGCCAAATGCCCTGGGTATCTCTCACTTCCATATGCTTCCTACCCCCGCCTTCCATCCTGATCCTCCTTGGGCCTCAGCCTGCAAAAGCTGAGAGCTACACACCCACCTCAGACATAGACCTGTTAAGTCGGCATCAACTGTCCTCCCTGAGCCCTGGTGACTACTGTATAGGAGCAGTCTAGGATGTCACTTTGGCTGCCTACTGCTCTGGCTCAGGTCCCTGCAAGCAGTCTCAAGAAATACATACCTCTCTGGGTGCTCCAGGCTTAGCCAGGGCTCCATGCAGCCCTGCAGCAGAAATGCTCAATTCTGGGTGCCTGTTTGCTTATATGACAGAGGAACTGGGGTCACCAACACTGGGATTGTCCCAGAGCCTTCTCTCAAGCCCCCTCATCCAAAGCCCTCATAGTGGCCATCACACTTTCTTCTCCCAGCTTCCAAAGCACAAGGTCAACACATTCCATTACCATGCTTATTTTGAAAACCAAGGAGAGTTAAGAAAATTAGAAAAGAACGTGTCAGCTGAGCGAGGCAGGAAGGCTGCTTGTCAGAGTTTACAGGAGGCCTCCACAGTTTCAAAGAACTATTTCTTAACAAATCCTGGGACACATAAACATCTTGGTACCTCCCCATCTCTGAAGTCACTCTAATGAAGAGATCTCAAGCTGGCCCTCCTGCAGAAGTTATGTCAAGCACGGCTCATCCACGAGATGGCTGATACAAGGCCATTAAATGTGCCATTTAGAAGGCATCATATCAACCTGGAAAGATACTTATTACTGAATACAGCATTGTATTCAGGGAGTGACTTCACCTGGTTGTTGTTGTTGTTTTTAAGTATGCAGGAAAAAAAATCCAACAGAAATACATCAGAATGTTTCCAGCAGTGAACCATGCACAATTGTATTTTCTCTACCCTTTGGTACAGTGCCCAAGTATCATACAGTGAGCTTTTACTGTTTTGTGACCAGAAAAATCAACAAATATTATTGTGCTCTAAATGTGACAGAACAATTTTAAGACCAGAAAAAGAGTCAATTATAAAATGAAAAGATGTAGGAGCAAAGTGATGTGACATGATATAGCCTCAAACCACTTCCGCATCTTTCTTTTTATTTTGGAAAACCCCGGATTCAAAAAGAAAAGATAAACCTGCTAAAAGCAATGAGGCAGCTCAACACCATTCCTAATGAGGCTATTTTGTAGCTTAGCRGTAGGAAACTGCTCCTATCCCTTAATTAACTACTAAAATAGCAGGAAATCAAATGATTGGTTCCATGAAAACTTTTTTTTAGAAAGGAGTGAAGCAAATAGGTRTACAGACATGACAGCATTTCTATCATATTAAAACAACTTAATTTTAGTAACTGTCTTATGTTTTTGTTAACACTAATTTTTTTTTATCTTAAAGAGCATAGTCTGTATTGAGTTTTATTTTAAGGAAAGTAATCCATAAACATGGGTGTAATTAAAGCAGGTGATTGAAACTTCAGGGCTAGCTGCTGTACTTCACGGCTCTTTTTAGATTGCCCTGCAACCTCCACGCTCCACCCACCCCTGCAGCCCACCTCTCAGCTAGGTGTGACTAAATCCCCAACCTTGACGGAGTGCTTGAGAGATTCTGGCCACGAGGGGGCGCTAAAAGCGTACAAGCACCTTCTGCAGATCAACGTGAAGTCACCCATGGGAACTGGATTCTGGGAGTGACTTGACTGGGAATTACCATCTCCGAAATCTCAAGAAAGCCACAGTTTGTAACTGTACCAACCATTGTTTTCATTAACTCTGGAACAACTGCACTATAGTAAAACAACACCCGGTCTCCCTCAACAAACTGTGCCTGCCAGATAGCAATCATTTCTGCCATAAGTGAAATCTTACAGATGATCTCAAACAAGAATTTTTTTGTCTCTTGCAACAGATCAGCCTCAAATGTGAAAGATAACTACCGTAGGTACTATCCAAGATACAGGTATTCTTTTTACTGGCTGCAGGGAGGGAAGACTCTCTCTTAAGTCACACAGTTTTAAAATTTCACCCACAATGCCGCCATCCGAACGAATAAACAATTTTCTTGTCTCTCTGTTCCCTTCAAGGCCCGACTCACAATGCACACAATCTTACTAGTGCCCAAAATCATAAATGACATAACTTCATTCCAAATTATGAAATGATAGAACTGAAGAAAACCTTAAAGGCCATAGATAAACCAATCTCCTCATCTTACAAATCAGGAAACTGGGGTTCAGCTAGGTATTTGTTATACCCTGTATCACTTTTAATTATTTTATAAAATATTATTATAATTATTTAATTATTATTTAATTATAATTTGAAAATAGCAAGACAAGAGAAGGTACAACTTAACCAAGGTCACACAGCTAGTAACTGGTAAACCTATGATTCCCACAGGTAACCTGGTTCATTGCCTGGCACAACCAGACTCACTCTCAAGACTCCAGAATCCCAACTGAGGATCCCTTCTGCTTCTCGAGGTGGAATTATTTTAGTATTCACTTTTGTTTTTGTTTTCCTAAATCTGGAATGTTCTTTCTATAACACTTTCTTCTCTGAATTAGATTTGACAGAACTCTCCACCAAGAAAGAGCACACATACCTGCTCCCCAGAGGAAAGAGAGAAAATCTCTGATGAGGTCTGAGCTCCTTCACTAAGTGAGGCATGATAAGCCAATGTTGCTTCCTGATGCCCCTCGGGGTCATCTTCCAAAATATCCACAGGGTAAGTGCCTGCTGGGGTGGAGAGAAGAAGTGATGTTAGTTTTATTCTTTCATTAAAGGGACAGTCACTTATATCTTGAAGATATAAAACTAAAAKATTATCTGCTTTAGAAATTAAGTTCACCTATTCCCTGTTAGGCTGTTTAGGAAACTTCTTTGAAACTACCCAATGATTTCCCAAGTACTTTCAGCAGAGAGAACACAGAAGCAAGGAACACAGCAGGCATTGGGAGGGCTGAGACTAGCTGCTGACTTCGTCAAAATCCAGCTTGACCCAGCTATCCCACTCCTTGGTTTATACCCAAAGGACTTAAAAATCGGCATACTATAGAGACACAGCCACATCAATGTTTATAGCAGCTCAATTCACAATAACTAAACTATGAAATAAACTTAGATGCCCTTCAAGATGAAGAAACTGTGGTACATATACACAATGGAATGTTACTTAGCTTTAAAGAAGAATGAAATTATAGCATTTGCAGGTAAATAGATGGAACTAGAGTATATCAAGCTAAGTGAAATAAGCCAATCCCCCCCCCMAAAAAATACTGAATGTTCTCTGAGAAGCAGATGCTGATCCATAGTGGGGAGCAAGGGTAGGGGCAGGTGGAACTTTGGATTGTGCAGAGGGGCGTGAGAGGAGGGGTGGGATGGTGGGGATGGGAATGAAGGTAGAATGAGACAGACATTATTACCCTATATACATGTATGATTATACTACTGGTATGACTTAGCACCATGTACAGCCAGGGAATGAGAAGTTACGCTCTATTTGTGTACAATGTGTCAAAATGCATTCTATTGTCATGTATAACTAATTAGAACAAATTTAAAAATCCAGATTGAGTGGTTCTCACTTTCCTAGCTAATATTAACTATAAATATTAATATTAGCATGGTATTCTTTAGTTCCATCTATTTACCTGCAAATGCTATAATTTCATTCYTATTTAAGGCTGAGTAAAATAATGATGAAACTTGGAATCTCTATCTCATACAGGTTCATGAGATTTTGCCCATTCCTCCCTTAGTGGGACTAATAGACCATAACTTGTAAAATACCATAACTCCAATGACTCATATGAAGTACATAACTACATGCCCACACACAGATAAATGAATATTGTACRCATTCATTTGCAAAGAAATTAATGCATATTATTCTCTGAGTCTTCCCTGGTGTCTTTTCCCTATAGCCACACTTTTGGAGGAAAAAAATGATTTTATTTGAGGAAGAATTATATTCTCGAATCAAACATTGGGAGCGTACAGTTGAACTTAGCAGCAGCAATCAAATTTTCCCTCTGCAGCAATCAAAGATACTGGGCTGGCATGTCCCCACGTGGGATGAGGGCTCCATCCCCATTCTGTGGACTCTGCCCCATCTTTACCTTGGATGTGCCTCTGGGCCTCCTATAAGAGAAGAAGGTTACCAGAGAAGCTGCTGCCCTTATTCCTCCCCTTCCTTATTGAATATGGAAGGACCATCATGATTCCCTGAATAATACAGCATAACAACTACTTGCATTTGCACTGTATCAGTAAGTCATGTAAAGATTAAAGTCCCCAGGAGGATCTGCACAGGTTCTATGCAAACCCACCATTTTATTTAATGGACTTGAGCATCCACAAATTTTGGGTTCCAAGCAGTGGGGGGGGGTGGTCCTCAAACCAATCTCATGGACACCAAAAGACAACGGTCTATTCTTCCACTCTTTGATTTCTTTTTAAGTACTTCAGTGTGAAAGTCACACAAAAATCACTACTACAACTGCATTGATTCCAATATTTCAAATAAAGAATTGACATCAGGCAAGGAGTAGAATAAGGATGAAACTTGGGGTCTCTGTCTAAAAAGACGGTGGGCCACTACAACCAAGGCACTCTGCGACAGTAAGCACACGTGTGTGAGCGTCAGTGTGTGTGTCCTCTGCACACATAAATACCTTTAAAGGATCCCAGACTCCTCCTTACTTTGATGAGTCAGGAAGTCCCCCAGCAACCAATCAGGCCTGCAGCCCTCTAGCCAGCCCCCTGGGGCTCCCTGCTGAGGCCTTCAGGAGCACAGCTCAGGAGCCAGAGGGATCCAGTTCCTGACCCAGGGACCATTTCAAAACCGTCAAGGAGACCAAACTCAGCCTGTCTCACTTCCCTTCGATCATCCCAATCCATCCCTCGCTTAGCACAGGGTCTCAGCATCCCATAACAGCCTCTCGCCACCCCCGCATCCACCCACCCTCCACCCACACCCATTAAAATAGCAGCACAGTTAACATTCTGTGGACTCTAGATCTCAATATGCTGCTCAGTGTTCCACGGCCGAATCTCACTGAATCCTGCTTAACTCCAACTGGCAGAGGAAGTGACAAGCCTCACAAGGATAAGACCTGGCTAGAAAGCAGCAGAATCAGACAGGAGACCAGGTCTGTCTGATTTCAAAATCTGTGTACAACATTCAGATCATGACAGTGACCCTCTCAAATCGGTCTCCTCCACCCTTACCACTCCACATCCCCATCTCCTCCGGCACCCAATGGGCTCATGTGCCCACTCCTGACAGCCTCCTTCTATCTCTTCATCCACAAGATCCACCCCCGATGCAGCCAGCTCTCCTTTCTAGGAATCCCAAAAGGCAAGGGCAAGGACTCTAGGGATCACCGAGTCCTGTGTTTATGTGACAACTTGGCCTAGGATAGCCTAGGATCAGCCAGCCCCTCTGCCCGTAGGGCCCCCCAACTCACACCTCAACTTGGTCTTTTTTAGTAGTTACCCCCTAACCTAGAGCTGCTGGGGCTTGCTGAGTACAACTTCCCTCCCCACTCCCAGACTCTACTCTGAAGACCCTCCCCATGCTTGTCCTATACAAAGCACTTAGTAAATTTAGGTGGTTGTTCAACTGAGCTCTGCACTGAAACTGCTACTTATTTCATCTAGTTGGTCAAGTATGCAAAAAGACCTGGCAAGCATTCCAATGAATTCAAGAAAACTGGAAAAAGGGCTGCTTGAAACCTGGGTGCATCCCGCAGAAACCAGCCTCAGTAGCTTCCTCTCCCAAGATGCCCCCAGGAGCACCAGCATAAGGAGCAAGTTAGAGATGGACTCTGATTTTTACTCTCTGTGGCTGACTCTGTGTTTTGGGAAACACATTCCTTAGGTCTGGACCATTGATCAGTCTACTCCAGTGAGGATGCAGGGCCGACAGAAGAGCATCCTCAACCAGCCCCAGAGAGAAGCTGAGCTAGGCCCCCTGTCACTTTCCCTTGTGCCCAGGGAGTGGAAGAACACTGTGGCCAAAGGGTTTGCAGGCACTCCCAATTTGAGGCCACCAGGCCAGAGGCTTGACTCCTGGTGGGTCGGGTAGGGAGGCTCCTTCCTGGCTTCTGCAGGCTGCCAAGAGTTGCCTGGCACGGTTTCTGGTCGTGTGTGGTCAGGAGAAATGCTGTGAATGTGTTTTGCTCCTTCCATGCCATGAAATCATTTCCCCTGCAGGTTACTTTGCTGGGGCCGTGAAACACCCTCAAAAGACTCTGTGGGGACTTTCCAGAAGACAGTCACTGCCCCAGGGCTCTAATGCCTGGCTGTCCAAAGGAAACACAGGAGTGGATCCCTTGGGGTCTTTTCAGAACAAGCTTCAGGAATCAGAAGACTATCCTGAGAGTGGGGGTGACATCCTGCCTACCTCTGGGGAAAGAGGCACATAAATCAACCCTCCCAATCATGGCAAACTGGTGGGGGTGGGGGAACACCATAATGCTCAAAAAATAGTGTGGGGATATAGCTCAGAGTGTTTGCCTCTCACGCACAAGGGCCTAGGTTCGATGCCCAGCACCTCCAAAAAAGAAAATACTGTGGCACCCACACTCAGTTCCCTTTTAAAAACTCAAAGCAGGGTGCAGAAGAACAGCCACAGAGCAGAGGACTAGGAGTGCCCCTCAACTCAGCCTAGCACCCACAACTCTCTGGCCCACTTTGTTTAAATTCATTCTCTTCCCTTTGAGGAAAACTTCTCCATCAGAAATCTCAGCAGCTTCTGTCCTATACAGATGTTTGGGTTAGCTTCCTGGAAAATTGGGTGGGAATGACAATCATAAGCTGCTTAAGACAGGAGAGGGGTGAGAGCACCCAAGGCCCAGCAGAAGAAGACCCCTCCCCAACCTTAGAAGAAGGAATGCACCACTCCTCAGCCCAGGAGAATGAAACCCTCTCATGACTCAGAAGGAGGACGGACTCCCCGCTCCCAGGAAGAATTAAAACACACACACACACACACACACACACACACACACAAGCACACACGAGAGTCAGCCTTGGGAAGTAAACAAGGCTTGCGCATGCGCCAGGCCTCCACGCTCGTTCTGCTTCCCCGCTTCCCGGGTGATGGAAGACAGGCTCCGCAAGGGCCTCCAGATGTGAAATGCTAACAGCCTTTAATGGCTTGAACTGAACAGGAAATATTTTCCAAAGCCAAAAGAATGTAATCTTTTCAGTACAACGTTAAATGCTTTTTATTAAAAAAGGCACACAGTTGAAATGATAGTCTCTGCAGACTGTAAAGAAACTGAAATCCCTCAACAAACTCAGAATTAAAGAATTCACTTTAAGCATATGTTGGCATAGTCACCCGAAAAACAAAAACAATAGTACATCTGAAAGCATTCTTCTAGGGAAAATAATTGAATTATTCAGGATGTTTGTACCAAAGCTCAAGTTCCCAGGCTGCTTCAACAGCAATCTTATACCGAGCCACTTTGTATCACCCACTGCCCATCGGCCACCAGTGCTGCAGGGTCAGCCACTGCTGTTCAGGCTGGCAAGGCCTTTCCCAGTACTTTTTGATCCTTCCAATGTAAACAGCAATGCCAATGAATGAAGACCTTGGAAAAGATTGGTGATCTGCATTTAATCATTGATTCAATATCATTTGCAGAATATTCTCTCCAAACACTACCTCACCATAAAGATTAGGAAAATGCTCTCATTTTAGCAAAGCATAATTTTTCTCAGATGGA